AAATTAACATTTTATGTGGCCTTAAAAAAATTGTGTCCCATTAATAATGTCCCCACTTATTAGCTCTGATAGGGTACTATTTATAGTTTGATTAGTTAAAAAATTAAAAACACAATAATTATTGTACAATGGAATGAAAGTATGCAATTTAATAGTAACTTTGTTACTAAAAAACAAGAAATCATATATTCGAATAGTAATTATTTTTATTAATTAAAAAATAAAAAATTTTACATGTAAATTTTAAATCATGTAATATTTGAGTGAAAATGTTTAAAAAATTTTTTAATAAAATAAATTTATTTTCATTGCTTTTTGTTTCTTTCATAGGGGCTATATATGACACTATCATTGTCTTTTGTGGACTTTTGGTAGCAGAGCAGGACTGACTTTAGCTTAAACAAAAGTGGGAATCTCACAATCACACCACATGTACCCACGTGATTTGGGTGGCGTTGTGTTTGGTTTGGTTTGGTTTGGTTCCATTTGTCACATTAATCCAAGGTGGTGGGCAGGACTCACGAGCCAGGATAGGGATGCTCTAAGCGATCCTATATTCCTATGTCCATTGTCCAAGGATCGGCCAAACCTACAAAAGAGTGGACATTTAGCCTCAGTTGAGACTTCCCTATTGCCATTTAATGATAATCAACAAGGGTTAAATCAAGTGGTAAGTGACTTGTTTCAGTTTAAGCAGTTTTCGTTGGGAGACTCACTAACCATTTTTAGGCGCACGATGCAGGTCGAGTTCGAATTAATCAAGGTGAAACCCCGGATACCAGGCGAAAAACCAAAAATAAAAAAAAATTGCCATTTAATGGTCACGGTTATGTGTCCATACAATTTTTTTTTGGGGCATATAAATATTTTATATATTTATTTAATTTAATTAATTTAAAATTAATTAAAGTATTTAAAAATATTAACATATAATTTAATTTTAAATTATTTAATAATAAATATCATGTTCTTTAGATTATTAGTTGACAATTGTGTTCCTGACAATTAAACAAAATATATCTACAATTTTTGTGTGACTTTAATAAATATTTGTGTAACCATAATCATGCTCTCATTTAATTTACCTGATAATACTTTATAAATATAGCATGATATTAATGAATAACTATTTATTAATTTATATGTTCTAATAAATAAAAAAAAGTTAATAGTGTGTTCCATAAAGGAAAAAGAGTTAATAATGTGGAAGTCATTTAAGTTTTTGCTTGAAATTGTATGGTACATGAAACATTTTACTTGATTTTTTTTTTTATTTTGGCCACATTTTACTTGAATTATTAGGGAGTCATCAGACATAAATGGACAGATAAAGTAGGGAACCTATGTGATGGGAATTGCTAATAAGGAATAAAATCAAATACAGCTTATGCAATCTGTTTGTTGGTAAAAAGACACTTGATGGAATAAACGAATAGAGGACATAATATATGCCAGAATTTTGCAAATGCTGACTACTAGAAAAGCAAAAGCAGGGAATTGGGAACTCAGAAATGGTATCCATTTGTGCCTTTTTCAATCACAAGTTGGGATCTTGACACCCCCCCCC